TGGTTGGGAAGGGGCATTGGGAGAAAAGTCCATCGAGGCTGGGTAGGGATGTTGGTTCCAGAGACTGATTCTTCAGTCCAAACCTTTCCATGTTTTCTTTCATTTTAATATATAAATGTAATAGATACAGGTGTCTAGGTTAAGAACACAGTCAAAGAAAGGTTTTTAAGGTTACCCCACCAGTGAACTGGTGATATAAAAATTAAGAAGGTGGAGCCTTAAGGGAAACCAATGCTATTTATTTAAAAAGCTTGGATATTGGGGGGGAAAAGTATGCTGGCTGACAGCTTGTTCCCACCCTATATATATGCAGTATCCTCACATCTTCAGTGAAGGGAACCAGGAATGATTTTTAGACAGGGAATCGGGGCTAAAGGAATTCCCTTCCCAAAATGAGGACAGCTGCCTTTACTGGGTTCTATCTCACTGAAGCCTGGAGCACTCACTGTAAGGTGCAAAGTGATGAAGATTAAACTGTGTGTTTAGGGAGTTGTAGGAATTTGCATGTAGATGTGTATTGCATATCCTACGGAACAATCATGCGTGTGCTCTCTATGGATTCCATATGCCTGCCTGTGTTTTAGTATCATTGATGCGAAGGGGGATGTGTTCTTATGTGTGAAATGGTCATGTGTCCTAGGTAACATGTTATGGGTCACTCACATTTGTCAGTATTTCAGATATCTTTAAACTAGACAGAAGGAAATGGTGTATTTAGGGCGTGGGCTCACATCACACTAACTGCATTTATATAGTGTGAATACTTAAGTCTCACACAGGTTTCCTGCTTGTAGGCAAAATGATCTTCTATCATTCACGTCAGAATCCCAGGGTGTCCATCCTTCTTCTGGCATGTATTTATCATCCTAGTCCTTAACAGGGGATAAAACAAGGGCAAAATCCTGCAGAGGTCTGACTCTGCCACACCCATGAAATCCAGCAGAAATGTGGGAGGGGGCTGGAGGGCTTGCACTTCCTTCCTCTTCCACTTGAGCAGCAGAAACAAGCAGTCTTAGATTTCTAAGTTGCAATACAGTGCCAGTGCTGAGAAGAACACACAGATGATCTATATTAGCCATTAGTTACCACTATAGATTATCACAGAGAGGGACAGAGGTAAGGCTGTAGAGGAGTGGCAAAGCAAGATTAAAATAAAAAAATCCCTGAGATTTTATTGGCTCATGATTTTCAAGTATCTGGGGCGGGGGCTTACTTTAAATAGCTCAATTACCATGCATACTGCAAATGATTAAAAACTTGCAAGGTGTGATAGTCCACAAAGCAAGAAAAATGTGATTTGTTTCCTTTGTTTAAACAGAATGACTTTAATTTTAATTGAAGTGTAAAGAATACCTTGCCAACCAGCAGTCCTCTGCCCTTAGCCCTAACCTGCTAGCATCTGCCCTTTTTCTGCATATTAACAAATAATGCTTATCTTTGAGAGAGTGAGTCCCTGGTTTAGAATTCTAGCCTTGCTGTGACTTTCCCCCAGCAGCATTCACTGCTACTGGGTATGGAACATTCTTTCTAGTAAGAAACTGGATTCTTGCTCAACCTTTCTGAGCCACACCCAGTGTCATCCAGGGACTTATGAATTGGTTCAATACAGTCATTCCACTTAATATAATTGAAGTTGCTCATTTTTAAAAATCATGGTGTCTACCACACATTTCCAAAATTAAACTGAAGAAATTATTTAAAGGACATTTTTTTTTTTTTCCTACCAAATCATCTGGACATGCAGAGAACCTTACATAGTACATGGCGAGTTTAGAAATGTGTTCATTTCTGGTGATTCTAAGTTATGCCAGGGTTGATCCCTCAGCTGAGGGAGTCCTCTGAATATCACTCTGGTCCCTGCCCACTCCACCCACCCCCCACCCTCAACCTGCTGAGGCAACTGGAATAAGAAAACACAGGGTTAATTTTCCTTCTTGCTGAGCTGGCGAAACTGCAGAAGCCTCCTTTGATGTTGCAGTGTAAAGGGCAGTGCTTCTGCTCACCATGAGG